CCCCAAAGTCCGAAATCACAGTATGGGCAGGGCTGCTTTCTTCTAAGGACTGTGAGATGGCCACCTACTTCCTGTGAGTCTTCATACGGTGCGGTCTCCACGGAGTCCTCTCTGTGTCCAGATGTCTCCTTTTTATCAGGACGCCAGTCATACTGGCTTAGGGCCCACCCTAGTGACTGCATGTTAACTAATTATATCCACAGTGACCTGATTTCCAAAGGAGGTCATATTCTGATGTACAGAGGGCAAGGACTTCAACTCTTTGTGGGGGACACATTCAGCATATACCACTATATGGTATTTGCCATTTAGAAAAGCAAAGAGCGTGGACATTCGGGGGCACACGTGAGTGGGAGCTGTTCACCCACACGGCGAACAGCGAGAGCCCGGTGCCCATCAGCTTTAGGTCACACACCGCTGCTGGCTCAGGAATACTCTGGGCTTCGGGTTCTAACACGTGAGAGGAAGGATTATAGTGAGTTCGTAGATGCTCTCCTCTTAGATGGAGATTTCAAACAACAACATTTTAAAAAATTGAGGGGCGCCGGGGTGGTTCAGTCGGTTAAGCGTCCGACTTCGGCTCAGGTCATGATCTCACGGTTTGTGGGTTGGAGCCCCGCGTCAGGCTCTGTGCTGACCGCTCAGCTCAGAGCCTGGAGCCTGTTTCAGATTCTGTCTCCCCCTCTCTCTCTCTGCCCCTCCCCCACTCATCTCTCTCTTTCTCTCAAAATCAAACATTAAAAAAAAATTAAAAATAAAATATTAAATTGAATGACACATTTGTGTACTGTTTCCAGGAATCAAGCTCATACTTGTAATTTAAAGTCTCCGAAGTTCAGTGATACTAAGTATGTCCATCAAGGCTGGCTGGCCGCTAAGACGGACAGCCCTCAAGTTCCAGTGGCTAATACAGCAAAAGTTCCTGGTTCGGCAGCTCTTATCCAGGGCAGAGTCAAGGTTCAGGCTCCTGCTGTCTTACGGCTCAGACCTCGTCTAGGTTTGGGAATGTGCTGCGTCCCATTGACGGGAGCAGCGGAGGGAGCACCCAGCGTAGGAGGTTTTCTCGGCCCAGGCCCGGAAGTGGCGCTCATCACCTCCGCTGCCTGTGACCTCACCTGACAATGGCAGGGAAGCCCGGGGAAGGTGGCCCAGCTGGATGCCCAGGGACAAGGGAACACCAGCACTTTCTGCCCGAGTGCCAACAGGAAGAATCATGGAGGCGTTTCAGCCACGGCACGTCGTGGAAACGCCAGCAAAGGGAGATAAAGTCCGAGGCTGAAACAGATATTTTCCTTTTTTAAAATAACGTCTGAAATTTAGAGAAACCGGTGTCATAAGAACGATGGCAGGGAGACCCTCGGGATCTTCAGGGTTGACTTTTTCTCTGCTCTTCACTCGGTAGTTTCACTCACAGTTGGTTTTTCGATCTGCTAGAGGAGACCCGAGGGTTTGAGACAGCTCTGCTTCTGTGCTCTGAAACGCACGGAGTGCACACTTGATTTGCCAGCAGCGTCCGAAGAGGGGTAGTTGCTAGGTTGTTTTGTTTGTTTTCACTGTAAACAAGTCACTAGCTAGAAACCTAATTGTATTCCCCACTGTGTTCTTCCCTTCTTGTAATAAGGAGAAACACATTGGAGTAATTACAGTTTGTAAAATACACTCTGTGCTCGTTACTCAGAGCACGATCCGTGGTCCTGCCATATTGGCATCACCTGGGAGGTTTTTGTTTTTCTCTTTTTAAGCGACGCAGGCCCAGACCTGTGGAATCAAAATCTGCCTTTCCCCTAGACGCCCTGGGGATTTGCGTGCACAGTGAAGTTTGAGAATCCCCACTTCAGATGTCGGAGGTATGATGAGGAGCATTTGACTTGCCATTTTCTGGCTTCATTTATTTAGCCTTTGTGGTAGGTAAGTGGGATGCTGTGCATATTGTGAAGCAGAAGTGGAAGAAAAACTTACGCTGGTTCTTTTTTTTTTTTTTTTTTTTAATTATTATTTTTAAGTAAGCTCTACGCTTGACACGGGGCTTGGACTCTAGAACCTGGGATCAAGAGTCGCGTATTCCACCGACTGAGCCAGCCAGGTGCCCTTTTGCTGTCCTTCCATGGAGAGGTGGGACGGAGAGGGGAGAAAATGTTAGGGAAGGGGTATCTTCAAAAGTGGTCTGCAGATGTTGATTTTTTTTTTTCAGGCTCTGGCCTCCTTAGGGTGAGCTCTCTGCCATCTTCATGGTCTTCAGAAGTATTGGGGCGCCTGGGTGGCTCAGTCGGTTAAGCAGCCGACTTCGGCTCAGGTCACAATCTCACGGTCCGTGAGTTCGAGCCCCGCGTCGGGCTCTGTGCTGACGGCTCGGAGCCTGGAGCCTGTTTCAGATTCTGTGTCTCCCTCTCTCTGCCCCTCCCCCGTTCATGCTCTGTCTCAAAAATAAATAAACGTTAAAAAAAATTTTTTTTTAAAAAAGTATTAAGCCTCAGGGAACTGCATGATAGATATCACAGGCCGCCTTGAACTTTTTCACGTATAAGAAAAATCTAATAGAAAATTGAACGGTAGAATCTACATATTAGCAAGAAGATTCTACTCCTGGAAAGAGAAATGATCTCAAGATCCCTATTAATGCATCACCTTTAAGACACAGTCTGTAGCAACATAATTCAGACATTTTTTGCTTGTGATTGGATTGTGTTCTTAACAAACGAATGCAGTAAGAGGCTGACTCCAAGTGAACAGCAGTTTCCAGTTGGTTCTAACGCTAGCGGAGGCTGCTGCTTCATGTTGGCCTGGCCAGCCTGGCCCAGCCTTGGTGGCTGCCTGCCTGTCAGCCTCCACTCGCTCCCAGCGCTTCCTCTAGCACGCCACTACGACCCAGCCTGTCCCTCCCTGAACCTCCCGCTGCTGCGTTCCCCCGTGCCTTTGAGTTACTTGTATTATTATTACTTTATCTGTTACTCGAGTAAGTTGTTGAGGTAGCGGCTTCTGTTACGTCTGATCCTTTGAGGGCGGCTCTGTGTTTGAGTCCGTTGTGTCTTTGTACGAGGTGAGGTGGTGCAGTAAGGGCTTGGACTGTGGGGCCAGACTGCCTGCTTGGGTCCAAGTCCCAGCTGCCCTTGCTTAGCCGTGTGCTCCTGGAAAGTCCCATCGTTGGCCCCGTGCCTCAGTTTCCTCATCTGTGAGACATGTCAGACATTAGAATTCTAAGTGCTTCCTCCTCATAGCAAATCTCTTAAGTAGACGCCTGTATTGGACCCACTCATAGTCATGTGACCATGCTGTGAATGGACATTGAAGGGAAATGAAGTTAGGCTCATGTTTCAAGTGACTTGGAAGGATACCAGCTTTTTTTAAAATGGGTGGTTTTTTAAAAAAAATTTTTTTTGAATGTTTATTTTTGAGAGAGAGAGAGAGAGAGAGAGAGAGAGAGAGAGAGACCAAGCATGAGCGGGGGAGGGGCAGAGAGACAGGGAGACACAGAATCCGAAGCAGGCTCCAGGCTCCCAGCTGTCAGCACAGAGCCCAACATGGGGCTTGATCTCACCAGCCGTGAGATCATGACCCGAGCCAAAGTCAGACGCTCAACCGACTGAGCCACCCAGGCGCCCCTAAAAATGGGTTTTGCACTTAACTTGTTAGTGAGTTGTTCTAAAATACAGGGACACAGTCGTGGTGAATTTGAGCTTTCTGAACAGGCAGTCAGAACGTAGCTGGTTGGTACCACCCGTGAGCCCTGTGTAGAAAAAACATGTAGAAAAGCAGAACTGTGCTGTCGTGGGGCTCTTGGTGGCCTTGTCTTTGACAGTCTTAACATTTTCAGCATGTGCTTTCCTTGGAATTAGGCATCGAGGTGGAAGAAATGTTTGTTGAAATGGTGATGTTAATGTTCTATGGTGAGTTACATTTGATTTGTGCTTTCGAAGGCTCTTTTCCTTCTATCTAGCTTCGTGCTTTCGAAGGGCTATTTTCATTGACTAAGTAGATTTGATTTCGTTTCATTGCAAAGCTTCAGTTTCCCGAGGCTTTAGACTTTGCCTTTGAATTATACATTTATTTCTTTAGTGTCTTCTTTATTTTAGTTGTTTTATGTGGTGCCACTTAATGGTTGTACGTTTTCAGTCTTGTACAATGCCATGAACTCTTTTAGAGAAAGAGAATATACAGAAAATCCTCAACAGGACAATGAAAAAGTTATGGACTCTTTAGAGACCCGAGTCTGTTGAGTAGGGAGAATTAAGATCATTCCCACCTTTGACCTATGTTGTTCAATGTGGAAACCACCAGCCACATGTGACTATTAAAGTTTGAGTTTATTAAAATTTTTTAAGTTAAATAAAGACAAAAAGTCACTTAATCAGGCATACTCTCCACATTTCAAATGCCCCAAAGCCCCCTGTGGTTGTGGTTGGTGTCAGACCAGACGTAGTACGTACCCACCAGGGTAGAAGGTACGATTAATGCCTCTTGACTCCAGAAGCTTATAGCATCCTTTTTAAGAAAGTGTGCTTCAGCTCTGGATTAGTTTTGTTTTACCCAAAAGAAGTGGACTCTTCTGTATTTTTCTAGGATTACCAGAACAAAGTTACATGGTTCCCAGCCAAAGAGCACTGTTTTAGATCAGCAGAGTTTTGTTTTCAGTGAGAGTTTGCTCTTGATTAGAATCTCATACACGGTAGTATCTTCAAAGCAAGATCTGTTTTTATTCTAACTTGAGGCTTCGATTTGCAGCAGCTATTTACTGAGGCAGTCCGACCTCACTTGGCTGATCCAGGAGCCCCCAACGGTACCTTGAGCAATACCTTTCCTCTCGTGATTTCTTCCTCGAAGCCGTAAGAGCGGCCTGTGATTTATAGGAAAGTCTTGTCAATAGCGTATCTCTGAGTTCACTTTAGGGCTACCTTGTACCAAGGAACCAGTTCTCATTCTTTCTTCTTTGGTTAATGTTCTCTTATCACAAGTCAGGGACACGGCGATACCAGTAAGAGCACAGACGCTTCCAGATGTCCAGCTCAGCGGCTCCGTGTCGTGTTAAAATGACTCTCCTGTTGAAAGCGCCAGTGTGGCTCCGCAGGGACCTCTGCCTGCCACAGCGCCTGGAGCCTGTGCCGCCTCTCCAGGCACGTGACCACCAGGGGGTCTGTCGAGTCCACTTTGCTGGCAAACAGAGAAGGCGACCGAATGATCCACGGCAGGTCTCCTGGTCCATACACGCAGCTCTCGTGGACGTAGCGCCCTGTAGAAAGAAGCACAAAAACCTAGTGCCTTTGTCTCGTCAGTTTACGTTCACACCAAAAAGTGATGCTCTTCCAAGGTCATCGGGAAGGCCCTGCTTCACGGGAGATCAGACTAAACATGATCTCCGCGATTGCTCTGATTGGGGCTTCTGGGTTGGGTTTTGAATCTATGGCGGCAGGGACGCTTTCATTCTTTCTGTTTAATGGCTACTTTGTTTAAGGGGACACTGTGGAATGTTCGTTAGTCACGAGCACAGGGGAGACGTCTTAGCATGCATTTGCCGGGCCAAGTCTAAATTCTGAACTGGGCCCCACGAACGTTTGTTTTCCTTGGTTGTGGGGAGTTTGCAGGAATTGCGTCGGTGTTAATGTGGCATTGCTTCGGCCCTCTCTTGCCCGTGTAGAGTGAGCGTTTGATACAGATAGAAGTCATTCAAATTGGAATCATGGGTCGACTCCAGTGCTGGGTTCCTTCGCGACGAACTCAGCAGCACACGTTAGGTGCCTGACGCTGCACTCAGCTCTTCCTTCTTTCTCTGTTAACCCCCCGGCCAGTGCTGCAAGGTGCTTCGTTACCACCTCCAGTTCTCAGAGGAGTGAGGCAGAGGTTGATCCGCTTTGGAGACCTTGCTCTCTGCTCAGTTCCGCCCTGCTTTTCTCTCCACGCCAGCCCATCGATCCTACTTCTGAAAGCCCATCTGAGGGAAATACAGAAAAGGGGCGAAACTGCACGCGTAGAACCGTCCAGTGCTGTTTGTAAGACTGGAACAAGGTGGAAAGAACCTTCCCCCAGTGAGCACGCATTCATCTAGTAAAGGGCCAAGCAGAGGAAGCACTCTGTAAGCGGCGGCTCTTGTCACGACTGACATCTTTCTCACTGGTAGACGTTCTTGGCACAGTGTCACAGACTCTCAATAGAATTACACTGAACCAGGTAAAAAGTACGACTGTGGAGACAAGCTGCGTGAACAGCGTAGGACATAGTGAAAAAAGATTCAGCTGCACCTCGGTGGTAGCTGGATGGTCTCTACTGTATATACACGTGAATGTGAGCCAGGAAGGGGGCACAGGACTGTGGAAAGTCCTCAGAGTTGGGCTCATGCCGTTTGGGTGATTACAAGTAAACAAAACTCTTTGTTGCTGGTGACAGCAGGACGACCGTCACTCTGTGCGTGCTCGTCCACTGGAGGGGCAGCAGACAGCTGCACCTGCTTAGAGACCCAGCTCTGCCACTTCCTGTGCTGCTTCCTGTGACACTGGGGGTGACCTCAACTTCTCTGAGCCTGGGGCTCCTCATCTGTGAGGTGTGAATACGATAGTCAGTACCTGAGAGTCATTGTGAGGATTGACTGCGGGCCCAGTGCAGGGCTCCGGAAGATTCTACCCCGGTCACTGCTGGGGCTCAGCCTAAGGCGGGGGCTGACTCTTGGCAGCCACTTGTCTCGCTGCTTTCCTAGTGGACAGTTTGCAGTCTGAAGTGAGCAGCGGCAAGAACTTGCTGAAGTGTTCGCTTTGGGGCAACAGTGATTTTTGTTAAGATTTACAGAATATTGAAATATTCAGGTTGTCGTTATAAGAATTCTAAATCATAACTGTATTATTGATAGCAGCCACCCTTCATGACTTCTTACTCTGTGAGTGAATCATGTTTTCAGGAAGCATCTGAGCCCCGACCCCGGCCTTTCGTGAGCATTTATTCACCGGTCTTGTCAACCCCAGTGTGTAATGGCAGTGAGCCCTGCTTTCTAAAGAAAGGCCAGGGTTGCTTCTTAGCCTGTGTAACTGTCACCTTCTTATTGTGTGAAGAGCCCCCTAATTGAATCATGGCTAAACTATTTATTGAAAACACTAGAAAATTATTCCAGCCCTTCCGACCTGGTACCTGTGAGGAGAGTGGCTGTGTACATGGCCCCGGGAGTTGCTGGTCTTTGAGTTATTCTCTGGTATTGGGTTTTACATTTTTTAATTTGTCTGCAACCTGTTTCTTTGAGATCAGTCCTTTAAACGGCTGGGAAACTGGGTGAACCTGGTTGATTTTGTATTTCTGACCTACTGTGACTCAAGCCCGAGGGGCCACGCCTAGACGCGCTATTAAAATCAGTGGTTGCGTCTGTGCGGTGTTTTCTGTGGTGGTTGGGAAGCTGTGTGTAGACAGAAAGGCCAGGCCACGTGCCTGGGAGAGAGGATGCTGTGCCCCAGCCACCTGCACACACGTCTGCCCTGCTCTTCCTGCCTTCTCTGTCCAGCACAGTTTGCGGCCCCGTAAAGATCAGACGCCCTGTTTTTCTTTCCTCATGGGCTCCCAGAGCGTTCACACCTCTCCCTACCGGACTTGTCCACATGGTGCTGTGACTGTTGTCCTGTCACCTCTGCTCCTCTCAGCCATCTCACCCTGGGCCGCGGGGGGGGGGCGGGCGGGAGAGCGGGGGGGAGAGTAGGCGTGAACGGCAGGACCAGAGGCCGGTTCTGGGTCTCCCACTCCCTAGGCATTTTCTCCCAGTGGCTGTGCCTGAGTCTGCCTTTTCACCAGAGAGGGACACTGACGTCCCCACCCCAAGTCTGTTCTGTATTGTCCTGGTAACTAAAACCACCGGGACACCAGACAAAGGGGCAAAAGAATTCACAGCTCCCAGGGAGAGTCTCCTGAGGGCAAAGCAGAAAGACCTTCCCCTCAGCAAGAGTTTGCTGCCAACCTCTGAGCTCTGGAACGATCGATCGATCGCCTGCATTTCTCACTTGTCTGCTCTGGTAGAGGTCCAGGGAGACACAGAGCTTTTTTAAAATGAATGTTTAAGTTTGAGTTCTAGGGGCAGGTGGAAGAAACCCACCAGCTTGTATATTTTTATCTTAAAACTTGTAAAGTTGCAGCCAAGTTGTGTGTTCACTTTGTGAAAATTTATCAACCCAAGTACTTAACGATTTGTGAGCTTTTCTGTCTAGATATTATAAAGAAGAAGTTTAAAAAAAAAATTGCCCCATGTAATTGCAAACTCACGAATCCCTTCGCTACTTCTGCTAACGATCGTCTCCCGATGTCATCCAGGCAGCAGTTGTATAGTTTTCATAAAATCGGAAGGCTTTTGCTTTTGCTTTGGTTCGAGTTTTACCTTTACATCCATCGTGAACACTTCCCTCCTCGTTTCTCCATTTAATGGCTCGAATGTCTCCTTCCCAGCCAGCGTCAGGTGTGGCTCCCGGGGCATCTAAGGGGGAAACAGAACGAGCATTAGAGCGGGCAGGCAGCTGCTCGGCCCTAGGGTGCCAGCTCTTCCTGGCTGTGCTCCCCCCACCCCAGATGTGGTAGTGGGAGAAAGGTGGAGGGAAGTCCAACCCTGCTTCAAGTGCTTGCTTGTCATCTGCTGAAAGGCTACGCTTTGGGGGCGGGCGGCGGCCGTGGTCAAGGTCTTGTGTTCCGGCTTTCGTTTTCATCCCTGTCTCCATCCCTGGTAACTTCCTGAGCGCACCTGGTGCGCCCTTGGCATGATGATGTTGGGTTTCTCCGTAACAGCCCTCTGAGGGGATGTGAAAATAGGATTTTCAGTGGATAGGAGCGATTAAACTAAGATCCTAATCGGTTTCTGCTGGATTCAGTGTTTGCACGGTCATCTGGACCGATTATAACCATTCAGACTTGAAGCCACATCAACTTTATACAAAGAGAAAGTAAGTCCACTTAAGGGAGGACCTCAGACTTCCCTCTCTCAGAAAACCTACCTGAGGTATCATGTTTGCTACCCCCAAAATTACTACTTTTAATGTTTTCCATTCTTTTTTTTTAATGTTTATTTTTGAGAGAGCACAGGTGGGGGAGGGGCAGAGAGAGGGGGACAGAGGATCCGAAGCGGGCTCTGTGCTAACAGCAGAGGGTCCGACGTGGGACTCGAACTCACGAACCACACATGAGATCATGACCTGAAGTCGGATGCTCAACCTACTGAGCCACCCGGGCACCCCTAATGTTTTCCATTCTTAAAAGCGCCCCTAGCACAATGTCTGGCCCTCGTAGGTACCCAGCGGTATTTAATAAGTGAATGAAGAAATGAAGGGGTTTCTGAAGATTTGTGCTCAGATATTGGTCATACTTCTTTCTGGAGAGGGAACAAAAGCAGCTGGGCTGGTTGGGCGCGTGGCCCTCTCTCAGCAAACCTGAGACCCCTAAAGACCCTCCCGTACTCCCCAAAGTGGAAGAGGTCTTGCAAAACGTAGAGCTCTTCACCAAGCCATGGTAAATCGTGAAATACAATTTCCACTTACGAATAAGCATCTGTTGTTGCCTCTGATCTGAACAGACGCTGTATCGCTGGATGTTCTTACCTTGCAGTCGGTTCAGAGTCACCCAGTAATGCTGTTCTGGGCTCTGGATGTTTCTGGACCACTGGAGCAGGTCTTTTGCGCGGATGTCCGTCAGTACAAATTCTACAAACTTCCTCGTTAGTACGTAGTAAGTGCTTCCAAAATAAATTGTTAAGTTATGGGGTGGTTCATCTTTGAATCTCCTGTTTGGAGATCCGTAGATACTTCCTTCAGGGGTGAATTCAAGACGACTTCCACTTGTCTCGGATGCAACGTGTGGTGGTTGGATTACTCCGGGAGTGATGTTTTTATCAGTCCATTTGCTCCTGATGTAGCGTATGATTTCTTTGTTGGTTTTGATTGGAAAGTCGTGTCCACAAAGGTTAAGGACATAGTTCCACTGAAATTTGGAACGGACCAGATCTCTCATACAAGTAAGATCTGCCTGCAGTCTCGTAAAGCCAGTGTGGGCCACTCTTCCTCTCTTTGATGAAATAAAAATATTTTCAAAACAGTTCACCAGGGTTTGCACAGCACTCTTATACTTCTTTGGGGCCTTTTTGTCAACATGAATACAGTAAAGGTTTTGAGGCACATAAATAGACCTGAGCAGCTGCACAAACATAGCCAGGTCCTTGTGAGTAGTTACGATATATGCCAAAGAGAAATTGCCCTCTTCTGCAGACAAGGGTCTGGTTATGAGATGCACCTCCTGGGAAATCCTGGAGCAGTTTCCTGGTGTGCGCAAGTGAGCAAGTATTTGAGAACCATGAGGGTTTTTACAAAAAGTTGCAATTTGGGGGGCGGCCTCTTTCCCTTCAAATAAAGCTGAACACAGTTCATCTGGATAAAAGCCACATTCCACCGCTGCTGGATAGGTGGACTCCTCTGGTTCCTCCGGAGGTGGATCCCTTAAATAAAGAAAAACGCACACGCACACGGCTGTGCACACGAGGAGTCCAGGCTTCGTGGCCCGCAGCTGGCTCATGTCTTCAGCGCCAGGTGCCTTCTTATCACCACCGCTTGAATTTCTTTCCCTCTAGGCTTCCTAGGAGAACAACAGATAGATTCAGGGTGGCATAACTCTCCCCCAGCCTGCCGCTTCGCCGAAGTACACGTATTTAAAGCACCAAGTGTGCTCAACACGTATTTAAAGCATCAAGTGCGCTCAGCTTGGTAGACGTACGTGCCCGCGAAACCATCACCACTATCGTCAGGACACACATCATTCCCCCCCCCTCCCCCCCCCCCCGAGAGATTTCTTGTGCCCCTTTCACTCCACCTGCCTTGCACCCTGTCTCTGGGCAGTCTCTGTGCCCTCTCTGTCTCTGTACGTCAGCTGCATGGTCTGGAATCATATAAAGAGTTGTAGACTGTACTTTTTGCCTCTTCACTTTGGGTAATGATTTTGAGATTTCATGCAGCTCATTAGATTTGTGACCGTTCTTTCCTCCTTATTGCTGTGCAGTATGCTGTCCCGTGGGCAGGCGACAGTCCGTTTATCTGTTCATCTGTGGAAGGACACGGAATTGCTCCCAGTGTTGGGATATGACGAGGTGCCGTAAGCTTTCGTGCGCGAGTCTTTGTGCGGACGTTTTGTTTCTGTGTTTCAATAACTCTTCTGAAAGGGATAGTCCTTAGTACCAAAATGTAATGGTTGCTGGTTAGGTGACTTTTGCTGACGCAGAATTAACAGCAGTGCGTTCAGATGATTGAAATGTATCAGCCTTTGGGAAAACTGAACAGGTAGCCACAAAACGTGGTTTACAAAAGTAAAAGATCTGCTGTGGTTCTTGGGTTTATTGGCCACGCGTATTCACCCGTACGTAACATGATGTCGGAACTGAGTACAGCCATCCTGGAGGGACTCAGGCCACACGCGGCACTCGGTGAGTAGCTGTTTACTACTCTCATGAGTAGTACTCGGTGAGTAGCTGTTTATAACGCTACTGTGGATCTCTTCACATTTACTGACTTCACAGAAAATCCTGATGACTGCTTCAGCAACCTCATAATTACGAGGTTGCTTGATTAAGGCTTTCTTTTGGCACAGTAGGGTGATTAGTGGAAGGGTGTTCTCTTCCTTTTAAACACAATTCTAAATTAGGAGCAATGGCAGTTTTACAAAAAATAGCCCTTGGTAGAAACTTCTGGAATGTTAAATCAGCAGGCTTTCGGGGTGATGTTAACAGGACCTGCGTTTTTGCTTCTCTGGGGGCAAATACCTAAGAGTGGAACTGCCGACTGCTGTCCAGAGTGGTTGTGCTGTTTCACTTGCCCACAGCAGTGGTCAGATTTATTCATTTTAACCATTCTGACAGGTATACGGTGCTGAGTTACTGCCCTTAACGTTGGCAGGTTAAAAAAAATTCTCAAATACTTACTTTGGACGTGAATACTGTCCTGTTCTACGTTATGCAGACTTCATTTTATGCTGTTATCCTGTATCATTTTATAACTCTTCCCAGTAAAGGAAGCAATATATCAAGAGAATTTGTTCATCACAGAATTTGATTTGTTGAAACGAGTTTATGAATTTTTTAGAGAAGGCTTCCTTGATTAAAAACAAGATGTCTTTACCTGATAAAATTATTTGGTAATAATTTAGTTGCCTTTCTGGGGTCCCATAGAAATGCACGAATAGGTTTAATAGGAACAAAGGTGACCCAAGGCGTTTTGATTAATTATTTTTTTATTAATTAATGATTAGTGCATGCAGGGAGCATCCTTTCGAATTTAGGGAGAAGACTGATCGTGTAAGATGTCGACATTATCAGTAACTATTTTTTTCTTGCTTATAAATCCTGGCTCCTGATTTCCATAAAAAGTCCTATCTCTGCCTATTGCTGTTTTTTCTGTTTTTTAAAAAGCCCGTTTGCTTTTGAGCAGTGTTTTGTCTCAGATTGGACACTAGTCCCTTCCCTTCCACATCATTATTTCACATGCCATTGGGATAAAGCAGTGACTAGGCAGCATTTTGAGCTATCCTTCTCTTAAACTTTGAGCTAAAATTGTAAATGCTGATCGTGGACTGTGAATTTAAAGAATGTACTTATTTTCCCTGTGGTTTTCTTTTTCACCCGTCCTGCTTCAAAAATAAAAAGCAGCCACTGCCCAAATATGCCAAGTTTTTTTGTGCCAGTTTGGTAAATGTTTGTTGATTGCCCCAAACGTGAAACCTTATGATGTAATTTTGAAGACGTTTTTATAAATTATATAATACAGTATTATAAATTATATAATTATATATTATAAATTATATAATACTGTATTCACTGTAATTGACACATTTCATATCTGGTCTCTAAACAAAACCTGTATCATAAAAGGAGATATTCACTAGGGAGGAAATACCTTCTTGAAATGAAGTCAAAGCTTTTGCCTGCTTTTAATAATTTTGGTTAGGGGTGCCTGGGTCAGCATCCGACTCTTGATTGCAGCTCAGGTCATGATCCCAAGGGGATCATGGGATTGACCCCATGTCGGGCTCCTCACTGAGCATAGAGCCTGCTTGAGATTCTCTGTCTCTCTTTCTCTCCCTCTCTCTCCTTCTGCCCCCCTCCCCCACTTGCACTCTTGTCTCTAAAAAAAATAAAATAAAATTTTTTTTTGGTTAAAGGGAAGCCACGTGCCATAGTTTATTACATTTAGTATGGAGAGGAGGTTTTGGAGGTTTTCTGGCTTGTCATCTTTGGTTTTGTTTCTAGGCTTGTGGTTAAAGTAAAACATTCTGGTTTCATCATAGAAATGTTGTTGGCCTCACTCCACTGACAGATTACACCCCGTGTAAACCATGGCTCTGCCACAGGGAATTAGAGTTTTTCGGTCGTTTATGATAATTGAATGAAGACAGGGCCCACGTGGAATCCCTTGTCCTTCGGGCGATACCTGGGCTAAGCGGTTTATGTATGTCCCCTCTGCAGAGACAGGGACGCGGGCTGGGCTGTGTTCGTCCGCCGCCTTCCTACCTCCCGGTGTTAGTGCCGTGCTCACGGGTGCCCGGGTAGATCCGCTTTCCCGCTCGCGTTCCCTCTGGGATTGAGAAACCGCTGTGCCCTAGGTGCCACGTGCAGCGGGGACCAGGGTCCCCGGCAGATGAGCTCCGTTGTCACTGCTTCACCACAAGCTCTTAAAGGCAGTCAGACCAGCCTCCCAGATGAAGGCCCCGGAGCCCCCACTGCCGTGGCTCCTGCCGTGGCTCTAATCAGCATCCAGCGGGGACCCCGGAAATCCCCGTCACCTCTGTCACCTCTTGGGGCATGCCGGCATTTCCTCTGTACGCTGGGGGTGTGCCCGTTGTCAGCGTGGCGGACGTGTCCCGGCCTTGATTCTTGGCGACTTGTGACGGTTCTGTCTCTAATGTGAAGTTCGCTTTTGTTGCCATAATGAAAGTGGAATTGTTATCACGTGACTCTTCTCCCACCGAACTCATTTCCAGGACACGCAAGTGGTGTTTCTCAACCGTGGGGAACACGAGCTCATTAAAAAGCGCAGTCTTGCTGATTTCCGAGCCGTCTTTTTCCTCCACACAAAGTCATATTCAAGATGTTTATTCATTTCAAAGGCTTTAAGAAAGAGGGGTAGGGGCGCCTGGGTGGCGCAGTCGGTTGAGCGTCCGACTTCAGCCAGGTCACGATCTCGCGGTCCGTGAGTTCGAGCCCCGCGTCGGGCTCTGGGCTGATAGCTCAGAGCCTGGAGCCTGTTTCCGATTCTGTGTCTCCCTCTCTCTCTGCCCCTCGCCCGTTCATGCTCTGTCTCTCTCTGTCCCAAAAAAATAAATAAACGTTAAAAAAAAAATTAAAAAAAAAAAAAAAAAAGAAAGAGGGGTAGCTATCCTTGGGTGTTATGGAGCAGACAGGAGGTTCTTGGTCTGGACCAGACCCATTTTTAGCGCTCCAGTATCCCGTTTGCTCACGTGTTACCGAAGTCACAGATGGTTGCTAAACTTACTAATTTGTGCGTGCGAGGGAGCGTTCTGTCGGTCACTTACATTCTCTTCCCTGGGCCTCACGTTCCCTAAAATCCTTCAGCCCCCATCGCCAGAGCCTGCGGTGGGCAGTGTGTGCCCAACGTGCTCAGTGCGAAGCAGAGCAAAGTAGCCTCCACACCAGGCGCGATGCTGGTGAAGGTCACGCGTTGAGCTCACTGAAGACACACGACGTCCAAGGGATAGTGGAGAGTCTCTCCCAGTAGAAATCGTTACCAAAGTTGTGGTTAAGGATGGCGTTTAAATTGTTTTCCCTTATAGAATGCTAGACTCCACATAGTGACAGATGATTTGCTTCTAGTTCTCAGAATGGAATTGTGTGGCTTTGTATGTTTTTGTCCGAGCATAGAATACGTCCGAGAAATTATTTCAGAACACGTTACTGCCCTAATTATTAGACCAGGTGTGTACATTTTTTTCTTCTTTTCTTCATCCATCCATAGTCCCCCCTTCACCACCCCACAGCGAGCCTTAACAGCCAGAAACAAAAGTCAGCAGCACGGGTTCGGTATCATGCGTTTCCACTGAACACTTTCTTTAAGGGCAGTCATTTTGAATTTGTTAGGACGGGATCTAATTTATTATAAAGACTTTTCCAGGGGCGGGGGGGGGGGGAGCACGCCTGGGTGGCTCGGTCTGTTGAGCGTCGACTTCAGCTCAGGTCATGATCTCACACTTCGTGAGTTTGAGCCCCACATCGGGCTCTGTTGCTGACAGCTCAGAGCCTGGAGCCTGCTTTGGATTCTGTCTCCCTCTCTCTCTGCCCCTCCCCTGCTCACTTGCTGTGTCTGTCTCTCTCTCTCTCAAAAATAAATACACATTAAAAAAATAATAGGAAAGACTTTCAGGGGAGTTGACATCCTGTATAAACGAACTCTTTTAGTTTTGTTTTTGTTTTTGTTTTACAGAGATAATTTCTTTTTTTTTTTCTTTTTTTTTTTAATTTTTTTTCAACGTTTGTTTATTTTTGGGACAGAGCGAGACAGAGCATGAATGGGGGAGGGGCAGAGAGAGAGGGAGACACAGAATCAGAAACAGGCTCCAGGCTCTGAGCCATCAGC